GTGGCTTTGGGACAAAGAGTCTTGCATGTGTCTTGTCAACATAGTATAAGAGATCATTTCTGAGCTTATAACGTGAATTTGAGATCTTATATAAGGTGGTGCAGTAGCAGGATCATTTTCAAAAGTTTCCGGTTTTTCAGGATCAATTAAGTACTTGGAGAATTTTTGAAATTTGGGGTCATTGGGAGTCATTTCCTTGATATCAGTCATGAGGTCATCAGTGAAAGTCAATTAAGTAAGATTTAACATTGCTGTAGAAAGAGCATGGATTGTACAGGTTGTAGAGGTTTCATTGTTTGGAGAGACTTGAATTGCAATTTCCTTAGTGTGTGAGAGACGAGAGAGTGCATCAGCAATCTTGTTCCATTTTCCAGGTTGCCATTGGATGTAGAAGTCATAGGCAAAAATGTCAGCTATCCAGCGGTGATGTACAGGTCTCAGTTTGGGTTGGTCAAGGATGTGGCATAACGATTGATGATTAGTAAAGATGTAGACTTGATTTCCCAGAATGTAGGGTCTGTGCTTCAACTAATGCAAGTATTTCACCTTCATAAAGATGGTAGTTAGATTCAGCTTGGTTACATTTGCGTGAATGGAAAGCAATTGGTTGGTCAATTCCATTTCCATCAGGTTGGGCAACGTAACTTGCAATGACTAGAGAAGACCAGTCACAATAGAGATGAACAGGCTTGCTTGGATCAAACATGGCAAGAAGTTTAGGGTCAGAAAGATGTTTCTTGGCTTGGAGGAAAATTTTCTGGGCTTGTGAGTCCCAGACTTGTTCAAATGGTACAGGTTTGTGTTGTCTGAGAATGTCAGAAAGTAGAGCAAGTAGAGCGGCATGGTTTTCAACAAAGCAATGAATTGTGTTACCAAGTCCTAGAAAGCTTTGGAGATCTGTATAAGAGTGTGGTTTATCAAAATTTTGAATAGCTTGAATTCTTGATGGTAAGACATTGATGTGTCCTTTAGAAATATTGTAGCCTAAGTATTCCAATTCATCAGTGAGAAATGAGCATTTATGTAGTCTGACATGGAAGTTGTTTTCTTGAAGTCTGTGGAGAACTCGGTCTAAATGTTTAAGTTGTTCTTCCAGAGTAGTTGAGTAGATGAGTATGCCATCTAAGTAGATTGTGACAAATAAATCAATCATGTCACAGAAGATTTTGTTCATAGTAGTTTGGAACGTAGCAGGAGCATTGCTGAGACCAAATGGTATGACTAGTCATCCAAAGTGTCCATATTTAGTACGAAAAGCAGTCTTAGGAGTGTCTTCTACAGAGATACAGATTTGATGATATCCAGAAGCAAGGTCAAGTTTTGAGTAGTATTTTGACTGGCCAAGACAGTCCAGAGATTCCAGAATGTTTGGCAGAGGTGTGTGGTTATTGTGTGTAATTTTGTTTAGAATGCAGTAGTCAAATACTAACCTTGTCCTTTTGTTTAACAAAGAAGATTGGAGCTCCATATGGAGAAATAGAATTCTTGATCCTAGAATTCTTTAGTAGAAATTCCAGCTCATCCTTAAGTTCATTTTCATTCATTGGATAGATTGGACGGAATGGTGGCTTGGAATCAGGTTCAGTTTTGATTTTGAGGTCAGTTGGTCTTGATGGTCATTGAGTTGTGGAAATGTGTTGGATAGAAACTGTTTTTGAAAGTTGTTGGTGCTGCTGTAGTTTTGACATCTGGTAGGCTGAATTTTGACTTGTGACTTGCGATTGCGGCGAAAATAAAGGTTATCAATTGTTTCAGCTTCTTGTTGAAGTTTCTTCAAGTCATTGCAGATGTGGTAGAGGTCAGGCATAGTTTGGAGATGTGACTTGAGTCCATTGAGATACTTGACACATAAGTGTTCTTCAGGATAAGTTACACCAACAGCAGAGATAGCAGACAAAAGTTCATTGAAGGCAGCGGAGTATTGAGTAGCAGCTCCAGTTTGATGTAGGTCTTTCATAGCTTCCACAGCTTGTGACAAAGTTAAAGTAGAGCCAAAGGTACGTTGAGTCCATTGTTTATAGAAGTTCCAAGTTGCTTCAGTGCATTGTTGTTCAGTAAGTTGTCTCCAGGCAATATGTGCATGTCCTGTGAGTCCAGGTGAGACAAATTGAACATAGGTTGGTTGTCCAGCGTGAGTAGCAGTCCCAATAGTTCTTGCAAAGTTGTAGAGTTGGCATAATTCCAAAGAGTGGTCCAGGTAATCATCTAGAGAATTTTGAAGCTCATGAGCGGCTTTACCTTTAAAAATTCCAGAAAATTCCAAGGGCTTGACAGAAGGCATTTTAAAGTCAGGAAAGTGTCTTTGTAATGAATTGAGACCAGTAGTAAAATTTTGAGAGCTTCCAACGGTGGGATCAAGTGCATTGAGTTTTTCTGTCAAAAGGTTAATGACTTGATTTTGCTCAGTGATTGTACGTTGAAAGGCTTCCAGGTTTGTTTCTTGATTAGCAATTGTTTGTTACAGAGCTTGTTGTTGAGCAATGAGGCATCTCACAGCTTCATCCAAAGCAATAGTTTCCTCAGTATTCATAGTAAGATCCATGATGGAAAAATGTGGATAGTAGTAGAGCGGTAGTAGTAGAAGTAGTAAAAGTAATAGTAGTAGTAGAAGTATTCAGAAGAGTTAGATTCCTATAGCCGGTGCTACCAAATGTTACAGAATGAGCCTCCAGTAAGTAAGTTTTATTGCCAAAGAGTTAAGTTTTTAGAAGATTCTTTTTTATTTTCATTCAGGAGTTCCGAATTTATAGTTTTGGATTTGAAATAGAAATAAAGAAGTTCCCAGAAAGAGAAAATAAAGAAAGACAGAGAAAAATGAAGAATAAGAAAATAAAGTAAAAAGTTGAAATAAAGCAATAATAATTGAAAGATTGATAAAGTAATGATAAAAGAATAATATGGAAGTAAAATGAGGTCTTTGTTGTTCTTGGTTGTTGTGTTGATGTTGATGCTTGAAGAATTTTTCAGAACGGAATTTGAAATTTGAAAAATGTAGATAAGTATTGATTTGTCATTATATTAGTAATTAATACTTATTCCGTCTCAAATGTTGAATCTCTATTAGCTCAGTGGTCAGAGCGCGACGCCAATTTTCTGATTAACGTCGTGGTCACAGGTTCGAATCCTGTATAGAGTGGTTCACAGGTGCTGAACAGATATGTCTTTTTGATTGTCTTCCTGTTTTGTTGATATGTTGGACTCCCATTTTGCTAAAGTCGAACATCAAAAATTGAAGTTAAAATTCAACAATATTTTTGGCCTATGATCATTTGTATTTTATTGCGTTTGATATAATTCTTTTAAATTTTTTCCTTTCTGTTGTCAAAAGTTTGGGTTTGAATGATTTCCATCGCATCTTGATTGAAAAACTTCTTTCAAATTCATTAGTAAATTAATTGCTCTTATCACGTTTGCGTTGCAAAATGAAGCAAAATTCAACCAGTCGGAAGTTGTGAAAAATTAGCGACAAAGTAATGCCTTGCAATCAAACAAAATTTTCTCTAAATTTCTTTTCACAATCGTGATAACACAAATCAAGGTCAACTGATCTCTAAACACACAAATTAATAATTAAAAAAGTTCGTTTCGGATTTAAAAAATTCTCCCAGAAAATGAATTTTTTAGCCCTTATTGCGTTCTCTGTTTGTACAATGGCTGTCACACAGTCATGAATATCGTTATACGGTCAGTGTGGAGGCATTGAACGGACTGGATTAACTTGTTGCGTTTCTGGCAGTGTTTGTCCCATATTATTCGCAATGTCTCGTGGGAGCCGCCTCTTCAGTAATAATATTCATGGAATTTAACCAAGCCTGAATTGAAACTTCGTCGCAGAATACCACAACTGCAACTATTGCAGCCAAAACTACAACCACCATCACTGCGACCACAAAAACGTCGAGCAAATCGACCACAGTAACTTCAAAAACTACAACGGCTACAGTTTTGACTACAACTAAAATGACAAGTACCACATCTGCTCCTGCCGCATTTGGTTTTGTCAGATCCAGTGAGGGAAACTTTGTCTTGAATGGATGCGAGAAGTACTTCAGCGGAGGAAACTCTTATCAACTTGCTTTCAATACGCTTGCATTGATTGACAAAGAATTTGCAATGCTCGCTAACCATACTGGATTCGACATTCTCAAAACTTGGGCTTTCTGTGAAAAAGTATCCTGCCCAGGTTTTTTTTTTTCTCTTTCACAATAAGGAAATTCAGTTTTATAATAAAATTACCATATCTTTTGAAACTAAGGGGCCAGGCTCTCACATTTTCAGAAAGCTCTGTGACTGTCAACCCATCTGCCGGACTTGTCAGCAACCTTGACTACTTGCTTTCGGTCGCGGCGAAACAGGGAATCAAGATTGTTTTGACACTAATAAAAAATTGGTCTGATTACCGGGGAATAGATATTTATATATCACTTGCCGGAACATACCACGACAACTTTTACACAAATGCAACCATTAAAGCGGCTTTCAAGACTTACACAATTATATTGTCAACTGAGTCAATGCAGTTACTGGCGTTGCATACAAAAACGACCCGACAATTTTCGCCTGGGAAATTGCTAACGAAAGTAGATGCAGTGGCAGTTGCAGCAGTATTCCTGCTTCTTCTGGTTGCAACTCCGCATATATCACTGCTTGGTGCAACAAAATCAGTAAATATATCAAATTGCTCAACTGTAATCACATGGTCGCAACTGGCGATGAAGGATTCGGAATCACGCCAGCTCCAAACTCTTACAGGAATGATGTAGGTACTTATATTTACGGAACGGGAGCTGGATTGAATTTTACGATAAATTTGGACTAGTTTTCCGTAACTTCAACTCGAAATTATTACTATTATATTCTTATTTTATTATCATATTATCTTTTATTTTCTTTTATTATTCTCCTATTTCTCAGCTGCAAGTTCTTTTCCATTTCACTATTTGTCCTTACAAAATTTTTACTTGCGCAGCCCAAAAATTCTATTTCACTTTGTTTCAGAAAGGATCCTGAAACTCTACAAATTCAGTATTATTGAAATTAAAATAAACAGAGAATTCCTTATTAAAAACTTCAACTTTGCTTTGCTTTAGAACAAGAAGGAAGACTTCGCTGTGTAAGACACAGCTCAAAAATATTCATAATGATTCTTTCAGCTGTGCATTATAACTTCAATTCAAAATTTATTACTATTATGTTCTTATGTTATTATCCTATTATCTTTTATTTTCTTTTATTATTCTCCTATTTGTCAGCTGCAAGTTCTTTTCCATTTCACAATTTTCTTTATGAAATTTTTACTTGTGCCCCCCAAAAAATCTATTTCACTTTGTTTCAGAAAGGATCCTCAAACTCTATAAATTCAAAGTTATTGAAATTAAAATAAACAAAGAATTCTTATAAAAAAACTTCAACTTTGCTTCGCTTTAGAACAAAAAGGAAGACTTTGCTGTGTAAGACACATCTCAAGAAAATTCATTGCTTGCTCATTCCAAGTTAACTTTGCCCACATGGAATCTCTTCAATTCTCTCACATATTGGTAGCACTGGAAAAATTTAAAAACCCCTCTCTTCATCAATGTCAAGACCAAACGCTTTTGCTGTTCCAGACAAAATGGACTACTCAGGCTCAAACCCTTCAAATCCACAAGCCAGACAACTAGCCGCTATTCTACAAGAAATGCAGGAACTCAGAGAAACAGTTCAAAGGCTCAGTCTTAATAACAACAGCTTACAAGTTGAACTTCAAAATAGGGTCTCTCACAAAAATTCTTCAGTGATCCCTCATCTTATTTTTTCTCTTTTTACCTTCTATAATGGACTTGGGTTTTTGGGAAGTCCTGGCTTTATAGTTTTCAGGATCTGTTATCAGGGAGATCTCTTATCTGCTATCTGGAAAAATTAGGGTTATGGAGATTGGACTAATACACGCAACTTACCATTTTTCAAAATCACCTCAGTAAGGCCACCAGAATTCAATGGCACCACTAGAACCAAGCCAGCACACAAAACTCAAAACATCATCGACAATTACTTACTTAGATACAAAGAACAAGCCCAACTATATGGATTTCTTGCAGACAGTGCTGAGCCAACTCACCAACAACAGCTGTGCCACACAGCCTGGATTACTGCAGGACTCACAGAACATGCTTGTACATGCTGGAAACATCTACCAGAAGATCAGCATAGAAACATGACTTGGAAGAAATATCAACCCTGGATTCATTCAAATTTTGGATCCCAAATAACCCTAACACAAACTGTTGAAGGAATGGATTCTCTTAAACAGACAAGATCCCCAACATTATATTCACAGGAATTTAACAATTTCTTATCTGCAATCTGCTCCCGAAGTATTAATCTCAAAGACAGATACCTTTGCATTAAGTACCTTCAGGGTCTTAAGCCGCACTTTTGCAACAAGCATGAACTATTCAACATCAAAGACAATCTAAATAAACTTCAAATAGAGACTGAACGCCTAGATGATTTTTATTGGCAAAGAACAAAAACAAGGCCTACTCCACAGCAAAACGACACAAAACAAAATTTTTTCTCAAAAAAATTTTCAACCCAAATTTTTACAATTACCGCAACAACGGACCACAACCAATGGATCTCTCAAATACACAATCTTTCCCATGTCTCTCAGAAGAAGAAAGAAAGACGTACTGGAAAAACGGCTGGTGTACCTTCTGCAGACTCAAGAACCATATGCACGATCAATGCCAAAAAGCACAACAACAGTACCCAAGCAACAATAATCACAACAAAACCTCTAACAAAAGTAGCAGAAATTATTTGAACAACAATAATGAGCAAACCAATACTGGAAACTTCCAGTACGCCAAACATGTCAACAACATTGAAGCCGCGGCCAATATCAGCAAAAGCAGTAGCACTATCAAGGACAGCAATAATAGCAAATTGACTCAAGTTTGAAGAACACAAACATGAACAAGAATCAATTGCAACACATACTGAACCTTTCTTAATGGACTTACTAACAGACTTATTATCTCTTCGACTGCACCACATGGAACAACCAACTTCACAATCATCTCTCCTCACAATTAGCAGTTTCATAGGAAACCAACCAGCCAAAATACTCATTGACCCAGAAGCTAATGCCAGCATCATGAACACACAACACAACCATCACCAAGACATTCATCGTACAAACAAAAGACAACCAATATGCCTAGCAAACCATTCAATTATTGACGGATGCATTTATAAGAATATCAAATATACTATTATTACTTCAACTAGATTCAGGGACCAACATAATTCACCTCTGCTAACATCACCTGCAATTTAATACTAGGTAAGGACTAGTTAGACAAGTTCAATCCAGCCATAGAGTGGTCCTCAAATACTCTTTGTTTCAACTCCAAGAACAATACACATCAATGGATCTGCAAGACACCTTCACGCAAGATTCAACTACTATCAGCAACAGCTTTTAAAGACCTACTTCAAAGACTGCAAGACATTCAAACACTAGGAATGCTCATTCTAAAGACATTGCAAGGGTACAATAAGGCCATTGTGACCCCACCTAAAGAAATCAATAACATTGCCTCAAAAGAAGGTTCCAACATTGTCAAGACTACAGAAGAACAGAATCAGGCAGACGCCAAATCAAAACTAATAGAAACACTTCCGAAGGAACTTCAAATAATAATCAAGAAATACGAATCAGTTTTCCAGCCTTTTGAAGGACTGCCACCATCTCGAAGCATAGACCACAAGATTGAACTAATTGACAAAAGCTCAACTCCAACTTCAAGACCAATCTATTCAATGAATGAAGAAGAACTCAATGCATTAAAGAAAGATTAACCTTTCTCCTACAGAATAAGCGCATTCACAAATCAATATCACCCTATGGCACACCTATATTCTACGTCAAACAGAAGGGCAAGCTTTGACTTGTCTTTGACTATTGTGCACTTAATCCACATTAGAAACAATCAAGTTCAAGTCTCAAATGAACACATATCTTCAACCCAAGAATTCAAACCACCAACAAATTATTCATCACTCTGCTCATTCTTAGGACTTGCAAACACAGTCCACCGCCTTGTGGACCATAAAACAAGGCCTGAATCAGAAATATTTCCTTTATCACCA